ACAAAACAAAACAAACTAAAAAAAATACTCACCACCCAACCATTCCTTTGCACCCCAAACGGAGCCTCTGGCATGTAAGAGAATATTTTCATTTACTGCTTTTCCAAGGGAAATGAAGGTTTTTCTGAAAAGAAAACCTTGTGTTCCTGACCATGTTCCCAATAACAAAAGTCAGACATCATTTCAAGGGAAATTCATTATAGTAAAACTTAAATCCCTTAAACCCAAAATTATTTCAATATACTATCAATTCTTAATATAAAATCTGCTTAACAAGTCCATTTTGATATACTGACTTCAGACAAGCACATTATAAAATGCAGATGAAAGGAGCACTTCAAAGGGAGGAATGGGTCAGATAAATAAAGATGGCATGATCATATGATTCCAATACACTCTCCAAAAATGAGTGGTGAATATAAATGCTGAAAAAAAATTTAGGCTTTACTGTCTCCTTTAACAAGCTTGGAAGTTCAAACTCATCTTCTCATTGAACAGTAAATATAGCATTGTGCTAGCATCCAACATGCTAACATATTAGCATTATTAACTGCATACATGTATGATTAACAAAAATATTTGGACTGGTTTTTACTCTTGCATATCCTTATATTTTTAACAGCATGAATCATGAGACATTGTCTGTCCCCGTTTATCCATATATGGTTTATAAGGATGACTTATCCACCTGTGCACTACTGACTCAAAAAAAGCCTTTTCTGTTCTCCCTAAAATCTCCAGATACTGCACAGATTCTGTGCAGTAAACATGGCTTACACTGTCTCAGTCCTTGATTAGTGGGCAATTCCTGTACCATTGCTAAATTGACCCCATGACGACTGAAAAGGGTTAGCTTTCTCTCTTAGGAAATCCAAGAGAATCCTCTTTCTAGATACAATTTCAATGATTTCATGTATGTAGTCACCACACAGCAGGTTTTTCAGAATTCAGTGGGTGATATAAGGAAGAACAGCTAGGAATTGCTGAATTGTTCTATGAAATTGTAACTAAAGATGCTTATTGGGAAAAGGGGCAGAAGCTACATTACAGATAAATAGGGCTAAGAGAGACCCTATTTTAGAATTCTAGAAAGTTAAAAGTTCTAATTATTGAAAATCTTAGAAGTCCTCCTCAGCACACTCAGCTGAAACATTCTGCCACAGATTGGAGGCATGGCCTTTTGAGGGCAAAGCCAAAACGACTTCTTGGGGTTTCTTCTTTGCCTTCTGACTCCTCAGAAGTTGTTTCAGCCAAACACTTGATCCTATGGAGTGGGGGAGTATGAAATGTTCAGAGACTGTTGCTTCAGAACATGCCTGATTTATTTCTTATCCACCATAAATAGAGAATTATTAAGAGACACTCCATTAACTCAAAAGTTTACATAGCAGCTGGAGAATCCAGCTAGAATATACTTATCAGCTGATGCCTGTTTCATATGCACCACACGTAACTCAAAGCATGGGCTGATATTGGCTCAGGCTGCTGCTGACAGGGACCCTGTCACGTATCCCTTCTGCAGCTGACACGGCCGCCTCGAGCCTGGCAGAACAATGCAGCCGCCAAGGTTGGCCCAGCCAAAGGAAACTTGCTTCTCCCAGGTTGTCTGAGGGGAGGGACACTGAAGCAATGGAAATTCCCCAGCAGTAAAGGAGAACAAAAGAAAAGGTGTTGGAAGCTGCTGTTAGAAAGAGACAGGCTCTCGGAACCTACCGACTGCCAAACCAGCCTCCCAGGGCCTGAAAGCAGAGAGGAGAGACCCCAAACCGTCCTCAAAACCCATTGCTCATCACCAACCTGTCTCTGAGAGACAGCTCCTTGTTTTTGCATGGACCTGGAAGTCTCTAGATTTCCTTCCCTGATTAAAAGGTGTGGCTGCTGAAGAAATTAGTTTACGGAGTCTCTAAATTCCTTACTGCCGCTATCATATATCTGCCACAGACATATCAGTGAAGCCAGAGCTCAGGGAGGAGCGTGCTCCACCACAGCCAGAGCTCCGCACTGCCTTGGGACCAGCAAATCCCATTTTCCAGCAGGAATAACTCTGCAAAGGACTCTGCACCTGGAGAGGAAGCTTGAGGAGTAATCCATATATGCTAGATTAAAATGTCTGCTAAAAATCCCCTAACTCACGCATATCCTTCTCCCCATCAAAAAAAAAAAAAAAAAAAAAAAAAAAAAAAAAAAAAAAAAAACACAAAAAACTGTTATTTTACAGCTTATTTTCTTTAGAAGTATGGCCATACTGATTGTTTCTACTGAAACAATGGAAAAAATTACAGCGACTTATAAATTCATTAAAACACCAACAGAAAAAACAGTGGCTAACTAAATTCTCCCATTGACTGCCATGGCTTTTGGATCAGGCCCAGAAGAACGCTGGAATAAGTGGTGAAACATTTTATTTTCTAACTTTTCAGCAGCTACTGCAAACAATGGAAAACACGGGCACATACTTAGAATAACTTCATCCTTTACAAAAAAATGAGGTCACACCTAAAAATACTTCCTCTTGTTTCTGTATAACTTCAGTTTATGATAATAGCTATTACACACATATAGTGAAGAGGAAAAAATAGCTTCCCAAGTACTAGGTAAAAACTTGATATTCCACATTAGAGTTTCTGCTCCAGAGAAAACTCTGAAATCTGAAAGGATTCAGCTCTTTTATTTAAATAGCAGACTGAATAATCCAATTATTGGAAGGACAATGTGAAAGTAGTAAGTAGCTGCGAGTCTGTCTTATCAAAAAATTGCTTGGAGACAGGAAAAGCTATGTGATAACGACAAAATTTATCTGAACTTTAGTTCTTCATTTTGAAACAATTACTGCCGTTACTTACATCCCTAGACAAAGTCCACACAGCTTGAATTTCCTGGGATACATACATGTGCTACTAATTTGTAACTTTGCTCTAGAATCCAAGCCTGAATCATCAGGCCCTGTCACTTTCTAGCACAAGGGTGTGTTTGTCCACTTATAGCAGAGACTGATCCAGCATCTCCACATCTCCAAACGCGGAGATATTTTTCAAGAATCTACATTTTTAAAAGCATATCCTACATTCAAATTTTCCTTTCCAACTTCCGAATCTATCTACTTTTTGCAGCTGTGTTGCCTTGTTCCAGATATTATCGCTGCTCAACCAGAGGAAGACTGTTGTTTATGCTAAAATCCACATTTAGAGTGATTTTTCTATAACGCTGCATCAGTTCCCTGCTGAGAACACAGACTTGACAGCAAGCAACATTCCTGCAGCCTCCAGAAAACTAACTTAGCTTTTACAGATAGCTCAGTGCCGACCTTCTTGAGACATGAACAACATTTTACACGTTTTCCATAGCATCATTACGTACTGAGAGTGCTGTCTTGGATTTTAATTCTAAAACTGCTGGCATGATTCATTTCTAAATACGCAGTCCCAATGTTCCTCTCAAAATATAGAGAAGCAGATGAAAGTGAATTCACAGTTGCTGTAGGAACAGAAAAACGTGCAACTGCTTTAGAAAGCATAGAGCTGATCCTGCTTCTTTCTCTGGCACTGGGTATTTTACCACTGACTGGTGAAAATGGAGCCAAGATAGCAATTTTCTAACAATTTCAGGCAACAATTTTTTAGCTAAAAACACAGGAATATCCTCCCACCCTGGTCCAGTCCTCAGCCGGAGCCGCAGCCCTGCCAGCACTGTTAATGTCATTGTTTGCGAAGCGTATTCCCAGTCTCGCGCACACCCACGCAGGGCTCCAGCTCCCAGCCACGATGTCCCCCCGGCACATTGTTCCAGCTCCCCACGCTTCCTCACCTCCTGCCCCGTCCCCCTGCGAGCCCTGGCCCCCCACACCATTGTTTGTCCCCCTGCACCCACCCTGCATTGTTCTCCCCACCTGGGAGGGACCTTTCCTACCTCCCACTCCCCACAGAAGTTCATGCTTTCTCACCCACTTCCACATTCTCCACACACCTACTGGCATCAAAACATTTTCACTTTTTGAAAGCACGTTACATAAACTTTCATTACAACATTTCACAGCTTTTATGGGTTGTGGGCACTCTGCCTTGAGAGGCCCAGTCCAAAATATGAAACAATAAGAAGACTTGTACTTCTTCACTCCGGGCTTTTGTATCAGTACTAATCTTAGGCCTGATCTAAGTTTTACTGGACTTGCAGTCAGAACACAAAAGGATAGACCAAACATACACTGTTACCATAGAAGGAAAATACATAATATATACAAAGAGAAATTGACATTATTATGCTCTCACAGTATACAAGAACGGAAGTAACTGGCATGATTTACACAGCCTCCACTGTTACAATAAATACAGGTTGAATCCTTTTCAAATTCATGTATAAGGCCAAGTAAAATAAAATTAAAATAAAATAAAATTTAAAACGTACTTCTCGAAAAGAGAATAGTAATAACATGCAAGTCAAGCATTAATTATAGACAGGATATATAAACATAAATATAAACATATGTGGGTGTGTGTATACATATGTACAAAATGTGTGCCTATCTAAACACAGAGTACAAAAATACTTTCATTCATTTCTCAATTATGTAATTATTGATATTTTTTTCCACTCAAAATGAATAGAAACAGATGAAGCTATCCAGATAGCCTATCACTGTTTTGGCCACCTTGTTTTCTTTTACACTTAATTTTGTATGAAGCTGTATTTTTCACATAGGCATATGGGATACTATAATACACAAATTATATTTGCTTCTCATTCTTTTCCTGTAAGATGCTACTTTAGCTTTGCTACTTTCAAAAATATACTCCCTCTTTTCATGAAATCATATTAGACAAATAGTATGATTTACAAACTGTACATCAAGCTTAAAGTATCAGTGAATCTTCGTTAATCCTTGAGAATAAAGCGGCTAAGAATGCCCAAAGTAGATTAGGCATAGAAACAAAAATAAATACTTCATTCTATTCAGAAATATTTAACACAGTTGATATTTTAATACACAAAAAGCTCACACTTACCATGACTGATGCGGTGAAACCAGTAGTATGCGAAGTCCACTCCCAGAAATGTCAAATACCATGTCCACGGTGAGTCCCAGGGCAGTTCAAAGAGTTTGTAGTTATTCCATACATAGATGTAACTAACTAGGTCAACACTTCTGAATAAAACACTGAAACAGAAAACCAAATAGTTTTATCAGTCTGTTTACCACAGGAGTCTTTTTGTAACACACATAAACTGTGTCCAAGCCTCACAATCTTTGTCAAGTAATAAAAACAACACTGACTTCATAGATCTGAAGGAACAGTACTACTGAGTTTTTTAAAACAAGCTCTCACCCACTCATCACCTGCATTTTGGCACGAAGCATGCTCATTAAGCAACCATTAAGCAGTCGTTCCTTCCAGGTGGCACAGTGCTTCTGTTCTCACCTGCCTGGAAGAAACTCATTAATTCTCAAGTTCGAAGTAGTGGCAATCATTTTCAATTCAAACTCAAATGTATGATTATTGTAAAAGAACTAAAATCTTTACCTTAATATTGTAAATATGATGCAGTTAGATATGAGACTGAGGATGAGTAAGAGAAATTACTAGAGAATCTTACAGGCTCAAAAACTGTGCCCATGAGAACCTAATGAGTTTTAACCAAGGCAATGTGCAAGGTGTTACACTTGGGTTGAAGCAATCTGAGATAGGAAGTACAGACTGGAAGAACTCGCTGAGGATAGCCTTGCAGAGAAGGACTTGAGGTTCTTGATGACAAAAAACTGGACTTGAGACAGTAGTATTTGCTTGTAGCCCAGAAGGGGAATGGCTTTAAACTAAAAGACAGGAGATTTAGGTTAGATTCTAGGAAGATCTTTTTCACTCAGCAGGTAGCAAGGCACTGGTACAAGCTGCCCAGAGAGGTTGTGGATGCCCCACCCCTCAAGGTATTCAAGGCCAGTTTGGACAGAATCCTGGGCTGATCTAGTGGCTGACAACCCCACCCATGGCAGGAGGGCCTGAACTAGATGATCTTTAATGTCCCCTCCAACCTAAGCCATGATATGATTCTACGATAATTCCTTTTCTGAAGTTCCTGACTGGTTCAGCTGAGTTCAGTATGGAGTGGATTTAATGCTAGGATATGGCACACGGAATGTGAGAGAGCTCATTCTGAGGATGCCATTTGTCTCTGTCCATACCTGCTCATTTTTGTGTCACAATTTTTCATGTAGATGATTTCAGTGTTTTAGTTTACTGCACAGCCCCTCAAAAAACTTGAATCAACAGAACTAAGAGGACATATTATATCCCTTCTCTTCCAAAAGCTTGTTTTACAGCCTGGGAAAACACTGATATATCTTACTGGCCATGTAGAATTGTACTGAACATTCTTGAAAATAGTATGATCATGCACTGTCCTTTTCAGTAGGCGGACTGAAATAGGAGGGAATCTCAGAAAATGTTTCCTTTTCAAGTCAAGAACCATGCTCTCACTGAACTTTGTGGTCATCTTCATATTTTCACGGAGACATATATTCAGTACTTCCATGCCTCCAGCATTAATACTTATTGTATTTGGTATAATGGTATTTTAAATAAATGGTATTTATGGTATATATATATGGTGTTTTAAATAAAATTAAAAATTAAAAATTAAAATTAAAAATAAAATATCCATAATGGTATTTTAAATAAAATTATTAACAAGAAACAAAGTAAGCTAAAAATCCAAAGTTTCCAATATTGGGCATCAAGTAGGATAGCATTACATCTTCCACATCATGCAGAGAAGGTGAAGGAGGTACTCCTTGGGAAGATGAGAAATAATGTATTTTCCTCAGCCAGCTGCCATACCTTACCCGCAACAAACTCATTCCTACACCTAATACAAATAAACCAATCCATGTTTTAGGCAAAAACAAAATGGCAACAAAACTCAAACATTTTCATTTTGGCAACAGGCAGATTAAAGATTTCTCTTAAGTTGCAATGGCAGGTGTATCTGCAACTTCAAAAAATCAACTGATCTATGCCCAGAAGTTGGACCTTACACACCTGGAACATGTTTAATTTTCATAAGAGCTGTGTTCTATAAATATTTTTAAAGAAGATTATATATGTCCAACCAGATTTTTGCTATTCACCTCATGAGGCATCTGTAAAGGTTAGTATAAATTCTCAATCACTTTCACAACAGGTCAGAAGGGAGCTGATATTATTCAAACACAAAGAAATGGGCATTTCTTAACATCTTTTCAATGGCCAGGAAATTTAAAACACCTTTTGCAACATACAGTATCAGTTATTATTAGGTACTGTTTTCTTACTTTATTCTTCTGCTTTTATTAACATATAATGCCTTTGCAGTACATCCAAAGATATGTGGACTGGTACATTTTCTCCATTTTTGATCAGCTTTCAATATTTCACCCTTGAGTCTTTTTTTTTTTTCTTTTCATTTTTTCCACAAGTTGAGGCCAAGGTGTAAAACTTGAGCTACCCTTACAACACATTTTTTATGTGTAATTTGCTGTTCAAGTCAGAATTTGCTTATTCTTTCCTTCATGCTTGAATCACAATTCTACAACACATACCACTAGCTGATTACTATAATTAATTTGGAGCAATCCATCATATCACTGTGCAATGCTGGAGAAAGGAGAGTTGCTTAGCTAAGTTTTTTCTTTTTTTTTTTTTTTAATTTACAGTGTGATAGATAGAAAAGTCCAGAGCTTGCATTCTATTACAACTCTGAAAGTTCACTTGGAGTTTTAAAGGTTTATATTGCCTATTTTTTCTCCCTCAAGTTCCATTTTCACTTCTTGAAAATACTGAGGAGAACTTAAGAAAACGTTTTCCTCATTTAAATGTTAGTTTTTAACCATAAATATGACAGAAGTAGATAGCTAAGACTTTTGTCATTTGGTCCAATCTTCTGCATAAGGAGTAATAAATTCTAAACCAGAGATTACACAGAAAACCTTATTATATACATTACATTGATTAGTCTTCTTGGATTTTGAATATTTCTACTGAAAATTTTCTTATGATGTACAAAGTAGGCACTTAGGCAACTGTTTTGACTCAGATAGATGGTTTTTCTCTCTTAGTTTCTAAAGTTCATGCATACTTTATTTAAAGGTGACAATATTTATTTTAATAAACCATTTCCCCTTTCTCCTTCCACTGGGTCAGATTATCACTTCCTCTGATTAAAAAAGTCCAAGAAGGAAATTCTGGGAGATGAACTCTCCATGTGGACACGAAGATCTACTTACAGTAGATCCCAATGGGATAATGAAGGAGGGAAAAGGTGGAGAAAATTCAACTGGAAGAACAGGCGGCTGACTCCTGGCAAAAATAACCTGTAAGTCCTGTTTTGCTTCCTAGCTCACAGATCAACCTTTGAGCCTGGAATCAGCTTTCAGAAAAAGTCTTCCATGGTCCCCAGGACAGTCAACGAAAGTGAGAAGGATCAGGGGCAATAGCTGTTGTCTCTCTAAGCACAGGGAAAGAACTGTATATTGAAAGTGAAGTCCACAAGGAGACAACCTAGGCTCTTGCCACTGCTGTAGTCACCACCTCGCATCACACTGGGACACGACCTGGGGCCCCTGAGCTAAAAAACACAGCTCTACAGCTGGACCTACAAAGCCTCAGCTCTCAAGAGCTTTAACAGACTTGCATCCTTGGAGGTCAGACACAGAGGGAAACATGTTAAGACACCTCGGTCAGGAGGTTATATTATCATTAAAAATAGTGAGGTATTACTAATACATTGTTTCCCTGGGTTAAACAAATTAAGTTTTCCCAGCCTGATTCAACTACATCAATGTAAAGTTTCAAAATGTTGAACAAAGGCAGTTTCTCCTCTGTAATTGGAAATTATTCAGGCTATATATGTAACAGCAGGATATATGAATAATTAAAAGGTCTGTAAGCTTTTGTTTCAGCATGGAAACTGTAAGGATTTCCATTTCCAAAGACCCTCATAGAGCTTTCTTTTTCAGATGAAAAATTGGCTCCAGTCACAATTGAAATAAACATTTTGATAATATGAATTCAGTAAAGAAGAGAAAGGGGAAGGAGGTAGAAGAGCCTTGAGAAAATGTCCATTTGCAAAGCAAAGCAAACCTTCTGCAACTGAAATCCCCTTTTATTTCCTGTACAGGTGCCAGGTTTTGAACAGACACCCAATTTATTACCTTGTCAGCTGACTTATTAGGGTTGACACAAATCGAACTGAAATATGCCTGACATACTGCAGTCAAGGCTTTTTTCACACTTTAGCATAAAGCCAAACTTTCCACAAGATGGAGGGAAGGGGAGAGGGAGCTGTGGGAGTTCTATTCCCTGTTTTCTATCATCAAGATGAATATGATCCTCTCCCATTCTTAATATGCAAAATCAGTCATGAAATAACCTAAGGCTAAAAAATAATTCACCAAAATGATACATCTGGGAAATGATTATCAGGCTCTGGAAAGCCCTTGATTACAGGAAATAGCACCTACATTTTGAAAAAATGTTCCCACCAGACACAAAAGCTGAATTAAATGCTCTCCTCTTCCTCAGTATGGCTTTCTTCTCTGGCATTTTAGTCTAAATAATGCAAATCCCTGGTTTTCCTCACGTGGAAAAAAATATTATCAATTCCAAAGCAAAGTGAAATAGAGGTAAATTTGGTATTCCTACTAGCTGTGCTACATGCCCTCTTAGTCAAGATGTCACCTTACAGAGCTGACCTGTTTTTCACCAGCCCTGATCCTGCTACACTTTCTTTTTTTGTCCTCCAATTCAAGACACCAGTATTAACTTCTAATAGTGGGTGGTAGCAAACGTGAAAAAAAAAACAGGCTTTGGAAGCAAAAGGCAGTATCTTTATTCTTAATATCTCCTGCCTGTATAATTTGAGTCATTTATTCTTTTCTTTGCTCTTTCATACATAAAGAAGCAATCAATTTTAAAAAATCAATATTAAATATTTAAAATATTTTTGTCAGAAATTCCACTGCCTTTCACAATACAACCCACGGCAATAACACCTCCCATCCTAACTTCATGTGCAGTCCTTTGGTAAATTTATGTTCAGATTATCTTTTAAAAATTTTAAATTCTTTATTTCTGTACACCTGTACTTCTGACAAGGAAGCTTGTTCTTCTTCCTTTATAAAATAGA